GAGTAAAACAATGTATTGTAAGAAGGTAAGCGTTATGAGAGGGATTCAAATATATGATATTCTATAACTGAATAAGTCTTAAAGATTGTTTTCTTCACAAACTAACTTCAGTTTTTAGAATCTTTGGAAATCTAGAAACACTGGATACCTATATCTGACTGTTTATTCTATCACGTTGATGACTTAGTATAGAACTGAAACCTGAGAATAAAACCAATTTAAATTGTTGCTTTTAAAAGCAAAATTCAATTAAATAACACCGTACTGTAGAGTATTAAGTGTACAGTCTTAGGGTAGTCGTTTAGGTTTATTGAGAGGTCGTGACCAGTGCAGTTCAACCCTATTCAGGTGCAGACAGTAACTACCGAAGAGACAGTGTTTCAGGTTGCGCAAAACCGTGAACTGACCAAAGTTAAACATGAGTACCGTTGGATACCGGTTAATCATTCGTGCGCAAGATGGAAGGTCCTGGGTTTGAATCCTGCTAGGTGCAAGAGTCATAGATGCACACTGCCACTGATAAGTCCCATACCAGGACCTGATGGTATCTAATGCTGATCTAACACTGATTAATCGATTCATGATTTCAATGAATAAAATTGAACATCAGTTTATAATGAATCTCAAAGTGGAAAATTCTAGTATTCAATCGTAAGGAGGGGGATAATCTTATACACCTAGTTAGTATTCACATTTTCTCAGACACACTTATTTATACACACATCATTTTCTTGTGGTTATTTGTTTTTCTTTGCAAAACAAAATACCAAAATTCATTTATCCATTCATTCATTCATTCAATTTTCTTGTCTATTTTTGCCCACCTCCACCTCCACACACACACACTCTCCTCTCTCTGAACAACTTACTAACTAACAATATATACTAAATGCATACATTGTACAAATTAGGGACTTTACGCGCATATTTCTGTACTAATTTATCTTTGTGAGTGTGTGTCTCTCTCGATTTAATATACACTGTTGTTACTGTGGGATTTGTGTGTGCGAATCTTTTTCCGGTTATTTCCTCAATGAGAAGAATTTCTAATTCTTGCATAATTATCTAGGTAATTAGATAAGTAGGGTAGGGTAGGGTAGGTTAGGGTAAGGTAAGTTTATTTTCGTTTCCGTGAAAAAAACACACAACTGGATGAAGCCTTTTCTTGTGTGTCTAACAACTCTGTTATGACTGTGATGTTATTATGATTATTATCATTGTGATTATTATTATTATTACTGACTTACTTTGTTTAAAAAAGAAAAAAAGAGGAGATCTATATGTATATATATTCTTAAGGGTGTTGTTATTACTGTTTTTTTCCTCTAACAGTAATTTAATTCGTCTTCTCAAATAATTGTCTACTCTGTTTGTGTTTGTTGTGTTCTGCTTGGTTTCTTGTGTTGTTGTGTTGTAGTGTTTGTGTTCCTGTTACAATCAGAACGAACAAACAAACATTACACAGACATACACACACATACGCACACACACACGTTTATGATCGGTTGTTTTTGCACTTTGCATTGAAATTATCCTACCTCTGTTGATGTATTTGTGTGCGCTTCTCTTGTTTCATCATCATCTTGTTTCTTCATCTTTTTATTGCCTTCCTCTTATCTGTGTTTTTATATCTACTCTTGCATCATCTGTCCACTTTTTTTTTACTCCGGTGGGAATATGTTCACAGTTAGTTAGCAATTATCTGATAATTACGAGTTAGGATTTGTAATAGAATGAAGGATTTGTGATTCGTTTTTTTCTTTTTCACCTCATGCTACTTAATAATGATATAAGTAGCACTTAGAAATGGTTAATTTTATACATTTTCATAATTGATCATGACCATGATCTCTTAGAGTAAGGAGATCAAAGATTCAATTTGTGAAAACATGAATCGGTGTAATGCATTCATTTTAAAATTCTACAAGGAAGGAAGGTGTTAGAAAAGGTTGACTCTAAAAATATCATCACTCACCTTATTCCACGAATTTCCGTCTTCGGTGGTAAGGTTTTTTCAAGTGTGGAGCTAAAACATTATGAATTATGAATCAATCATTGTTAATGTCTAACTCTGATGTGCTCATTAGTGACTAACTTCTTGAGTAAGTTCTCGGAGTCCTAATGAGAAGGAGTGAGCAGTGAAGTTCAACCCCACCCGATCTAGGCAGTAATTACCGAAGGCTGCGCAAAATCTCTAGATTGATCAGAGTTATATATTGACATCGTTAGATGCCGGTTCATTGGTTTATTAAGGGTTAAACGTTCATGCGCGCGAGACCAAATGTCCTTCGTTTGATTCTCTTGTGCAGCGGTTGTGGATGTACACTGCTGATTAGTTCCAAACTTGGACAAAATGGCCATCCAATGCTTCTAGGTTTCTAGTGATGGTCTAACAATGATCGATTTATGATTTTAAATGAAACTATTCTTTGTATGAAGAAAAAAACTCGATTTTCTGTTGCATTTCTGAAATGACGTCTATCAATAAGTAAAATGGAATCGGAGATAATTTATTGATTCTTTTAAAATTTGTCTTTTTCTAAAATATTTTAATCTTTTTTAAATGTTTAACATTTTTACCTAATTGCAGTATATTAAAAGGTTGGTTCATATTGGAAATTGATAAAAAGGATTTCAACTGATATGTGTTTCGTATACTTATCAGTTGAGGTAGTTGGGACATGGTGTTACGTATACCGAAGCGCCGACTGCCACGACGAGCTATGTTTAGTGGTGTAGGAGTAGGTTGGAAGAAAGTTAGGGGTGGCAGGATAAAAGCAGGGCAGAAATCCATGAAGTCACTAACAAGTGGATTGAGTCATGTTGGTAGATGTCGGCTACGTGGTTGAGGTCCGCGGGACGACAGTCACCAATGGTTAGAGACCTTGGACGACATGGCTCAGAATCGTTTGCACTGGTGCCGGTGCATCCACTCTTTGTGTGCTTTTCAATTCTAACCTCCTGAATTCCTTATAATATCTTTCTTTTTACAAATTTATCTCACTGAATTATACTTTTCGAATCATATCTTCGCTCCCTAATCTTCTCCACTGCTGCTAATACTTCTACAATCATTATCGCTCTTGGATTTGAACTGACAGTTACGTCTCAGTGTTGACATGGTATGGCAACTTGAACTGATGTACTTATGTACGAAGTTCTGCGTTGTATCTGTCTGTCTGTCTGTCGTATACTCAATAAAGATTTTTATCGAAAGACAAAATAATGATTGGAAGAATCATGCATAAAATGTGTATAGAATACAGTGATTCCGATTGATTCTAATCATTCATTCAGTCAACTACAACACAGAACTTCGTACGTACGTACTGCATTAGAGAAGAGAGATGAAATTGTCGATTCGAATCCCATACTAGTATAGGTAGTTGAAGTATTAGCAGTGACCGAAAAGATTAGAGTTCGAAGCAATTATTCAAGAAGTATAATACAGTGAAATAATCTTTAAAAGAGAAAGATCGTGGGGTAATTCACAAGATTAGAATTTAAGAGTACGTAAAGAGTGGATGCATCTTGACACTGTCTACGATTTTGAGCCCTATCATTCAAAGTTCCTAACAATAGGTTACTATTGTCTTCCTGGACCCTAACCAAGTTGTCTACATCTACTTACAGGGTTTAGTCCATTTGTCAATGATTTCATGGCTTTGTGACAAGTTCTGGTTTGACCGCCCCTAGCTTTCTTCTAGTCTACGCTTACATCACAAAACATCGCTCGTCGAGGCAGTCGGTGGTTTGGCACACCTAACATCAGTTAATCATGTCAATATAATCATTTAGATTTCCAATCAATTCTCAACACAACCAATGAGATGAAATGGTAGTTACTATGATAACTAAATAGGTGTAATCATATAATCTCTCAGGCGGGGTGGAGGCTATTAAGTGTACATTACTAAGAAGTCACTGACAGCTGGTTGGAGTCGGCGAGACTATTGGTAACCAATGGTCACTGAGTCTTTGAATGACATGGCTCAATATTGGTTGCAATCACAAAAAGTGGATGGGGACTGAGTCATGTTGGTAGATGTAAACTACCTGGTTGGGGTCCGTGAGACGAAAGTCATCAATGGTTAGAGACCTTGAACGACATGGCTCAAAATCGTTTGCAATGGCGCAGGTGCATCCATTCGTTGAGCTCTCTCAAATCCTAATCTTCTGGATTCGTCAGAACCTCTACCTTTGTCTTTCTAACCTTATCTCACTGAATTATACTTCTTGAACAATAATATCTTCAAACCCTAGTCTTCTTCATTACCATTAATACCTCTACTATCTTTATTACTATGGGATTTGATTTGACATTTGCGTCTCTGTGTTAATGTGGTATGGCAACATGAACTGATGTACATACGTACGAAGTTCTACGTTGCAACTGACTGACTGACAAAAAGTGGATTCATTCTTTGTCTTTTCTCATAACTTCTGGAGCTCAAGACCTCTTCTTTTTAAATTTATTTCTCTTAAATAATTTCTTCGAACTGCAGTATTTTTTTACATTATCGCTTGTCTTGTCAATGAACTGTTTATCATCATTATTCCTCATCTATTTCCATAATTATTGACAGTTTTTTTGTACATTCAATCAACTCATTATCGAAAATCAATACATGAAGATAGCTTAGTGAGGAAATTCTCGGAGTTCTAGTGAGAAGACGTGATCAGTGGAATTTTTAATCTTAATACCAAAGACAACTAGTTACAGTTGCGCAAAATGCTTAGATTGATCAGAGTTAGACATTAACACCGTTGAATGCTAGCTCACTGGTCCAGAGGTTAGATGTTCACGCGCTAGACCGAATTTCACACGGGTTGGAATTCTGTGAGTAGCAGAAGTTGTGGATGCACACAACTGATTTCGTCCCATACTAGGATGAAATGGCCGTGTCAATGAACTGTTTGTCTTCATTATTCATCATATCTATTTCCATAATTATTAATGACAGTTGTTTTTTTGGTTTGTTTTAATTTTTACTTTATAGGACCATGTTTTTTGACAAGTTTCACTGAAAAAGAATTAAATCCAATCAAATCATGGGGTGATCATATTTTATTTGATTGTGATGCTGTTATGACTGAAAGTGATGGTTCATTGGATAATTTAATTTATCAATGGGAATTTACTAGTAACACTATTGCTCATGTTAATACCAATGATAATAATAATAACAATAATAATAATAATTTACGATCTGTTAATCAATTAAGCAGTACTGGTAGTAGTGGTACTAGTAGTGGATCAGATGTATCGAATGCTATTATTCATCGACAACGTCTTCTAGTTCGAACAGCCTCAATGAACAATGCAATTGCTCATAGCAATTATCATAAATCTAATAAGATTGATTTAAGTCAATTTCATGAATCTCAACTACGTATTGATAAATTGACTTTAGAGCATAATGGTGAATATCGATGTACTGTACGAGCACGAAGCACAACCACTGGGGGAGCAGGTGCGGCAGCGGCAGGAGCTTTATCAGCAACAATCAATAATTATCATCAAACTGCACCATTAATTACAAGACAATTTCGATTGACTGTTAAATGTAAGTCCTTATTTATATATATGTGTTGGAGATATTATTAGATCGTCAGAGTTCACTTGACAAAGGTTTTGATTTTGTAATTTACTTTTGAAATTTTGAATTTTTATGTTTTCACGCCAAGAGATTCTTAGTTGACCTACAGCTTACATTTCCCATTTGGAAGATCCTTGACTGTCATTGGTTGATGGGTTATTTTAGTATGCTATTTTGTGGCTCTTACCAAGGTCGTTTCTATCATCGTATAAATAAGCTTGAGTTGAGTGCTTATCAACCTCTACCTTCTTGGGTGCCTGTAGAATACATTCTCTACGCCTTATCAAGACATCTTGCTCCAGTTAGCACGGCCTGGAACAATCGGATTAGAATAGCTTGGCGTGTTGATCTTCGTCCCGTTTACCAAGAGTAAGGCGAACTCGTAATAGTTTCAAGCATATCATTTGGCGAGCATATCAATCAATATGATTCTTTAAAAACTTATTCGATTTACATAAATTAAAAATGAATCCATTGAACTTTCTTTTTGTTTTAATTGTCAAAACATTTCCTAGTTGACTATTTTTAGCTTACTCCTTACTGCTGCACAATACATCACTTATAGGTATTTACCTAATATCCACTCCTATTACGAACCATAATTAAATTTCTCCAGCCTACACCTACTCACAAAAAATTCAATTTGATGGGATAGGAGAGAGTGATTATATCACAAGACACTTGATAAAAAAAGATTCATTTTTTCTTATTTTAAACAAAAGATTGAAAGTAAAATTAAAAAAAACCTTGTTTTAAAATATGCTCATTTACACACATTGATTTCCTATTTTTATTGATTTTTTTTGGTTGTATTTTTATAATGACTAAGTGAATCATTTAAACAAACTGTGTTTATATTGAACAAAAGTTGTGAGTTCATAGAGAGCTATTTTCAATTGTACAACGAATACGAGACTTGATTACATTTTGAAAATAATTTGTATTATTTCGGTTGTTTATAGTTTCATTGAAATTGTGATCTATTTTAGTTGGCATATGGACATCTTATACGATTTGCTTCGATAAAGTTATATATGGATGTGAAACATAGCTAGTCAGAGTAGAAGATATTCGTAGGTTACTAGTATTCGATCGTAGATGTCTTAAAAGCATTGTTTGTGTATCCTGAGACAACCGAGTAAGCAATGCTGTCGTTAGGAAACGAGTACTAGGTAGGGATTGTAAATCAATAGATGAAGTAGTGAAACTTCATCAGTTGAGGTGGTTGGGATATGTGTTACATATGCCTAACCACCGTCTACCTCGACGAGCGACATTTTGTGGTGTAAGTGTAAGTTGGAAGAAACCTAGGTGTGGCCAAACCAAAACATGACACAAATCCATGAAGTCACTGACAAGTGAACTGAGTCATGTCTATAGATGTAGACTAACTAGTTTAGGGCCCGCGAGATGATAATAACCGATGGTTAGAGACCTTAAACGTTGCAAAATTTCAAAGTCATCAGTAATCACTCTATAAATACCTTCATTTGGAATAAAGTGTCCTTTTCGTACTCTACCCTTTTTTCTTTTGTGAATTCAAATTGGTACATATCAATTTGTAGTTGAACAAACTGTGTTTTGATAACTCAGTGATCGATTGTAGTCGAAAGTAGTCAGCTGTGTTTTTAGATGAATTTTATTCCAAATGAGACTGTTATTATTAGGAAGTTATTCTGTGTTTATAATTTGAAATATTTAAATTATAAAGTGCAGAATCTTGTGACCACCTTAAGCAACACTGCTAGCCTGTTTTCGGGATGCGATCCTCTCATTCCAAATGCAAAATGTTGCTTCATGATTGGCCTTCGTCAGCACCTGGACTAGTGATAGGGAGTGTTGACCACAACTTATCTTGGTAGTCTTATCACTGCTGATAGCTTGGTGTGTGACAAAATCTCAGCACGGATAAAAAAATGGCTTGATTGGATTTCGCCAACCTGCGTCACTTTTGACGATCTACTGCTCAGCAGTTCTCTTCCGTCCTACTCTGTGGGTGTGAAACATGGCCAGTAAGAATAAAGGATAATCGTAGGTTAGTAGTATTCGCTCATAGGTGGCTTCCATGCATTGCTCGTATATACTGGGATCATTCAGTAAGCATTACTGATGTTAGCTAACGAGTACTAGATACAGATGGAAGATCAGAAGATGAAGTATAGTGGTTTAGGGATGAGCTGGAATAAAGTTAGGGGCATCCGGACCAAAACATGGCACAAATCCATGAAGTCATCGACAAGTGAACTGAGTCATGTTGATAGATGTAGACTAACTAGTTTAGGGCTCCCGAGATGACAGTGAACGATGGCTAGAGACCTTAAACGACAAGGCTTAGAATTTTCCACATTCCTGGAAGAAAGTCAGTATATCCTAAACTATCTATCTATCTATTCAGTATTATTTTTGTATGTATTGTTAAACACATCTAATTCCGAATGACTAACATATTTTCTTTTTTTATGTGTGTGAAAACTATGCGAATTTTCATGATGTATATTAACAGCTGGGCTGAATGCTGCTGATATTGTATTTTATTTTTTTTTTGAAACTCGCAATGAAATAGTTATATTAAAACAATAATAATAATAGTAATAATTAATAATACTAATACTAATACTACTAATAATATTAATTTTATTTCAAAATAAATACATATCAACAATAAACATGTAAATCCTAGTTTGTATAAATGATAGAAACAGATGAGAAAACAGTTTGTTACACATTTTACTTCTTCTTCTTCTTCGTCTTCTTCCTCCACCTCCTCCTCCTCATCATCATCATTGTCATCATCGTCATCGTCTTCTTCATCACTCTAAAATGTTGCTGTTTTCTAGCGCTGATTTTGGCAAACAGCGAACTTATCTCTTTCACGCACACACACACACACGCACACAAATGTACTGTGTTGTTGATTTGTACAACTTTTGAAAAGTAAAAATAGTTCATTGTACCATATAACACAGCTACTACAACAACAACAACAGGAATAATAATCATAATAATATTGATTCCCAAGTCAATAATGATTTGATTGAAACGAATTCTAAAATAAGTTGTTTTTTGAAAATTTGAACTCACTTACTTACTTACTTATGCTTGTTCCCCTCTCAAATGGAGTATAGGCCATCGACAAGTATTCTTCAACCCACTGTGTCTTGGGCTTTCCTATTTTAGTTCTGTCCAATTGGTGTTCACTCTCTTCATATCTGTCTCCATTCCTCGGTTCAAAGATATTATTCAAGAAGTATATTTCAGTTGAGAAAACTGAGGCAGGCGAGGAAGATTGTATTTAGCAAATTTACACTCTTAGTCAATTAAAAACGAAAACATTACATTGAACACTCTATTTGCACACCATCTTTGAGTCGTGACTTCCAGCATTCCATCCTTCTTCCATTCCTGTTGTTGCTTCCTTTCCTTTCTGTTGGTACTCCATTCATTTCTTGCTTTGGCTCCATTTACTTTCTGTTTTCCTCTTCTGACCGTGAGACTTCTTCTTTCACGTCCCTTCTTATACTACTTATATCGTTCGTATAAGTAGCACACATCACACAGTGAGATGAATTCAGAAAGAGAAAGATAGCGGTGATGCTGATGATGAATTCAGAAGATTAGGATTTGAGAGCAAACCAAACAATGGATGGATTCACCTGAGTTATTGCAAACGATTTTGAGCCATGTCGTTCAGCGTCTATAATCATCGATTTCTATTATTTCGTGGACCTCGACTAGGTAAGGTAGGTTGCGCAAAAACCATGAACTGATCGAAGTTAGACATTAATACCATTGGATGCTAGCTCAATGGTTCAGAGGTTAGGTGTTCGCGTGCAAGACCGAATTTCACACGGGTTGGAATTCTGCGAGTAGCAGAAGTGCAACATCACTCACACGCACACTGCCCACTACAACCACATTCACCACCGACTGTTCCCAATCGCAAACTGGCCAGATATGATCACGTCGGTGTCTACACAACCGACCATCGCCCAAACACACACCATCATCACCAACATGTCCCACGACTCCTGTCGACAACCTGATTGTCTGTCAACATCACTGTCGATCCGATTGTTCTCGTGTCCGTTCACTCACCTCCTCACTCATCTTCCGACAACCCATCATCACATCCATCCTACCGTCGTCTCCTCCGTTTGTTCAAGCGTTCGTTGGTTTGTTACCCCGTTCCATCGATCATTGATTGATTCACTCATTCACTCATTCGTTGGTTTGTTCCTCCCTTAGTGTTGACTTCTCCTCATCCTCATCTGGTGGAAATCTTCGTCTTTCTGATATTCAGTCTGTCCGTTCGTCCGTTTTTCCACTCACTGATCGGACTATCCGATTATCCGATTGTCCATCGATCAATAATCATCCCATGCCAGGATGAAATGGCCATCATTCAATGCTTCCAGGTTTTCAAATGGTCATCTAACAATGATTCATTCATATTTCAGTGTTAAATAACTATACAAAATGAACAACATACAATATAATGGATGCTATGTATATTTTCTGTAAAATTAATTTTATTCCTTTAGTCGAAAGTAGTAGTGATAATAATCCATTAAGGTAGGTCAAATGAAAAAAATACCATACAACAACAAAACTAGTGATGTTAAAATAAATTTAACTAATGCATGAATGTGTCTATAACACACGTAAGTTGTGTTAAGACACTGCAACAATGTCAGGCAAAATGTGAATTATTTACTTTACTTTTCTCCATACTTCTTTTTATACATCGCTCTCTCCCTCTCTCTCTTTCTCTGCCACCAATTCTTCCTAGATGATTTTCTGTCAGTTGTGTATACAGTTTCCGTCTTGTTTTTTTTCCATCATGAAAGTGTCATACTTGTCAAGTACACATTATACATATACGATATACATATATGTATATCGTTTGACTTGCCTTATTCTCTCTCTGTCTCTCTCTCTCTCTCTCTCACACACACACACACTATCTT